TCTGGAATTATAGGTATGCACCACTGCACCTGGTTACATGAAGCTTTTTCTGTATCTCTTGAGGTCATCATGTGGCTTTTCTTCCTTAAAACATTAGTTTGATGAACTGTATTTAATGGTTCTTAAATATTGAATTATCCTTATTTTCCCAGAATACACCCCACTTGGCCAAGATATATATGTTACTGGGTTTGATTTGCTAATATTTTTTCAGAGATTTTGTTTGTTTGTTTTTGTGGTACTAGGGATTAAACTCAGTGGCGCTCTGTCACTAAATATATCACCAGCCTTTTAAAATTTATTTTTTATTTCAGGGGTCTTACTAAGTTGCTGAGGCTGGCCTCAAATTCCTGACCTTGTCAATGGGGATTTATGGGTAGACCACCATGCCCGGCTGATAATTTTCTTTAATGCACAAGTATTTAATTTTGGTTGTCATATTTACCTACTTTTTTGTTTGGTCACTTATTCTCTTAATGTCATATGAAAGAATGCTTTACCTAACTCAAGTTTGCAAAGATTTCTCCTTGAGTTTCTTCTAGACTTTACTTTTGTTCCTAAGAGTTTATATGTTTAGCTCTTCTATTTAGGCCTTTGAGCCATTTTGAGTTAATTTGTGTGAAGTAGCAGAGTGTGGAGGCAAACTTCATTCTTTTGCACCTGGAGATTTACTTGGCCCTGCACAATTTGTTTGAAAAGACTATTCTTTCCCTGTTGCATTATCTTGGCACCCTAGTCAAAAAATATTTGATCAAAATGTGAGGGTTTATTTCAAGACTGAATTCTATTTTGTTGACGTATACATCTATCCTTTGCCAGTATTAAACAGTCCGGTTTACTGTAGGCTTGTAGTGTGTTTTGAAATCTGGAATATGAATCCTCCCATTTTATATTTCCTTTTCAACACTGTTTTGGCTCTCTTGAGTGCCTAGTATTTCTTCAGGTGCCTTGGAGATATTGTGGGCTCAGTTATGGTCTACTACAACAAAGCAAATATTACCATAAAATGAGTCACACATATTTTTTGGTTTTCCAGGTAAAAGTTATGCTTATACTGTATGGTAGTCTGTTAAGTGTACAATACCATTACATCTAGAAAAACATTGTACATGCTTTAATTAAAAAGTACTTCTTAATGGAATCACCATTTCACCCAGTTATCCCACTCCTCAGTATATATCCAAAGGAGTTAAAACCAGCATACTACAGTGACACAGCCACATCAATGTTTATAGTTGCACAATTCACAATATTAACCTATGGAGCCAACCTAGGTGCCCATCAACAGATGAATGGATAAAGAAATTGTGGTGTATATATACACAATGGAATATTACTCATCCCTAAAGAAATATGACTTTATGACATTTGCCAGTAAATGGGTTGATCTGGAGACTATCAGGCTAAGTGAAATAAGCCAATCCCAAAAGACCAAAGGGCAGATGTTTTCTCTGATATGTAGAAGCTAACCCACAATGGTGGGGGATGTGGTAGGGGGGCGGAGTAGGAGTTGTTTTGATTAGACAAAGGGGAATGAGGGAAGGGATCAGGGATAGGAATGGGAAAAACAATGGGAAGAATCTGACATAACTTTCCTGTGTACACATATGAATACCACATAGTGAATCCCACCATGATGTACATTCACAAGACTGGGACCCTAATTAGAATAAGATATATTTCATGCATGTATAATTTTATCAAAATGGACTCTGCTGTCATGCATAACTAAAAAGAACCAATAAAAATAAACTACTTCTTTGTATTAAAAAAACCCTAATGATCACATAAGCCTTCAGCAACTCGTGGTCTTTTTTGCTGGTGGAGGGTCTTCTTTTAATATTGATGTCTTCTAACCAGTCAAGATGATGGGAGCAGAAGGTTAGGGTAGCTGTGCCAGTTTCTTAAGACAAGGAAATTTGCTGCATTGACTGACCCCTGATTTCACAAAAGATTTCTCTGAAGCATGCAGTGCTGTTTGATAGCATTTTACCCAGAGATAAGCAACTTTCAAAATTGGAGTCAGTCCTCTCATACCCTGGAACGGCTTTATCACCTAAGTTTATGTGACACTCAATCTTTGGTTATCATTTTCACAATGTTCCTAATCCTTGGTTATCATTTTCACAGTAGTCATAGCATCTTCACCAGGAATAGATTCCATCTCAGTAAACCAGTTTATTTGTTTATCTGTTAGAAGCAACTTCTCATCCATAAAGTTTTATCATGAGATTGCAACAGTTCTGTCACATCATGAGGCTCCAGTTCTAATTCTAGTTCTCTTGCTATTTTTGCCACATCTGCGTTGCTTTTTCCACTTAAACTCCTCAAAGTGTCCATAAGGGTTGCAGTCAACTTCTTCCATACAGCTATTAATGCAATATTTTGAACTCCAATTAACCATGTTCTTAATGGCATCTAAAATGGTAACTCCTCTCCAGAAGGATTTCAATTTACTTTTACCTAGTTCCATCAGAGGAATCACCATCTGTGGCAGCTGTAGCCTTATGAAATGTATTTCTTTAATAATAGGGGTTGAAAGTTGAAATGTCTCCTTCTTATATGGGCTACAGAATGAATGCTGTGTTAGTGGGCATGAAAACAACAAAAGTCTCCTTTACACTTTTGTCAACATTCTCTAGTGAACAGGTGCAATGTTGATGAGCAGTAGTATTTTGAAAGAAATCTTTTTTTTATTTTTATTTTTTCTGAGCAATAGGTCTCAATAGTAGGCCTGAAATATTCAGTAATCCTCTTGTAAACAGTTGTGCTGTCACCAGGCTTTCTAATGCCATTTATAGAGCACAGGCAGAGTAGATTTAGTATAATTCTTTAGGGACCTAGGATTTTTGGAATGATAAGTGAGTATTGACATCAACTTAAAGTCACTGGTTGCATTAGTCTCTAAAAAGAGACTCAACCTGTTCTCTGAAGCTCTGAAGCCAGGTACTGGCTCCTCCTCTTCTGCTATGAAAGTCATAAATGGCATCTTCCAATATGAGACTGTTTTGTCTATGTTGACAATCTGGCCTGGCACTGTGGTGGCGCATATAACCCCAGCGACACTAGGCTAAGACAGGAGGATGACAGTTTAAAACCGGCCTCAGCAATTTAGTGAGCAACTTAGTGAGATCTTGTCTCAAAATAAAAAATAAAAAGGGCTGAGGCTGTGGCTCAGTGGGTTAAGTGTCCCTGGGTTCAATTCATAATACCAATAAAGAAGAAGAAGGAGAAGGAGAAAACAATCTGGTGTTTGTCGTAGCTTTTGTAGTCAATTATTTTTGCTGGATCTCTGCATAATTTGCTATGGTTTCTGCATCAGCACTTGCTGCTGCCCCTTGAACTTTTATGTTAAGGAGGTGGCTTCTTTCCTTAAACCTCAGGAACCATTTTCTGCCAGCTTCAAACTTCTTTTGCAGTTTCCTCACCTCTTTGAACTATCATAGAATTGAAGCAGGTTAGGGCCTTGCAAAAAGCAGGTTTTGGGATGGGGGAGTTTTATGGCTGGTTTGTCTTCTATCGAGACCACTCAAACATTTTCTGTAACAGCCATAAGGCTGAGTCACTTTCTTATTCCTGTGTTCACTGGAGTATTAATCTTAATTTCCTTTAAGAACTTGTTCTTTATGTTCGTAACTTGGCTAACTGGTACAAGAGGCCTAGCTTTCAATCAGGTCAGCTTTCCATGTCTTCCTCACTAAAAAAGGCTTAATGATTTCTAGCTTTTGATTTAAAGTGAAAGAGCTGTGACTTTTCTTTTTACTTGAACAGTTCGAGGCCATTTTGGGGTTATTAATTGGCCTAATTTCAATACTCTTGTGTCTCATGGAGTTAGGGGACCTGAAGAAGAGAAGTGAGACAGGGAATAACTCATTAGTGTAGCAGTCAGAACTTACACAATATTTATCATTTCAGTTTGTTGTTTTATATTGGTACTATGGTTGGCATCCCCACACAATTGCCATCATTACATCAAAGATTTCCAAAACCAGATCACCACACCAAATATAAGTATAATGAAAAAGTTTGAAATTTTATAGAAATTACCAAAATGTGACACAGAGACACTATGTGCTTGACCCAGGGTTGCCACAAACCTTCAATTTGTAAGTAACAGTATCTGTGAAGCACAATAAAACAAAGCACAGTAAAATAAAGTTTCCCTGTATGAACTGTAGGATCATCCTGCCAATTTATGAGGCGAACGTGATAACCACTACACTACGGAAACACCTTATCCTGCCAATTTGTGAAAGAAAAAAAAAAAAGCCAGGCAGAATTTTTATAATGCCATTAAGTCTCTACGTTAATACGGGGAGTATTGCCTTCTTGCCTATATTAAGTGTTCTATTCTATAAATATGGGAATCTTTCCAGATCGTTAGGTCTTTAGTTTCTTTCAGTGATGTTTTGTAGTGATGTTTAGTGTAATGGTCTTATATTTCTTTACTTGAATTTATTCCTAAGTAGTTTATAATTTTTTGAATTGTTTTGTTGGTAGTGTATAGAAATGCAATTGATTTTGTATATTGTTTTTTTTTTTTTTTTTTTCTTTTTTGACCAGGGATTGAACTCAGGGGCACTCAACCACTGAGCCACATCCCCAGCCCTATTTTGTATTTTATTTAGAGACAGGGTCTCACTGAGTTGCTTAGTACCTTACTAAGTTGCTAAGGCTCGCTTTGAACTGGTGATCCTCTTGTCTCAGCCTTGAACCACTGGGATTACAGGCGTGTGCTACCACACCCAGCTGATATGTTTTAATAACACTTAGAAAGCTTTAAGAAAGTAGATAAACATCAAGTACTACTCTGCAGCTGTAACTGTTATGTAGAAAAGCTGTATATGTAATTTTAAAATGATATAAAATAAATATCTGAGATTGAAATGTAAGAGTTTTGATTTTTAGATTCTCATCCATTCATTTAGTTATACCCTTAGTTCATCAACTGAATCTTAATTAGTAAAAGTTAATATTTTATTTTTCCCTTTCACTTTTAGTGTTAAATGTTTACAAAAGACAGTGAAGGATTCTTACCACATAATGTGTAGACCATGTGCCTCTGAGCTTGAAGTTTGTGCAAAATGTGGAAAGAAAGAAGACATTGTTATTCCGTGAGTATTTCCTTTTACATTTAGATTTTATTCTTAGTAATTGATATATGAACTTTCGTTTTTTTGGAGTAGGGGGGTTACTGGGGATTGAACTCGGGGGCACTCAACCACTGAGACACATCCCCAGCCCTATTTTGTATTTTATTTAGAGACAGGGTCTCACTGAGTTGCTTAGCACCTCACTTTTTGCTGAGGCTGTCTTTGAACTCATGATCTTCCTGCCTTAGCCTCCTAAGCCACCAGGATTACCAGGGTGTGTCACTGCACCAGGCTAAATTTTCTTTTATTGAGACATTAAGTAACTATTGTCTGAAGTTATAACCTATCACACTAATGTAGACATTTTTCTACCTATAGGAAAATAGTCACTATTTTGTTAAATTTTTCTATTATTACAATAAAAGGGACTCTTTATGTTTTTAAGAAAATCAGATGTTTAGCTATGAGGTTCACATTTATTGAAAAAGAATTGCTCATTATGTAACAACTTTCCTTCAATGGATACCTTTTATTAATTTCTTAGAGCCTATTCTATTGCAACAGTATTATAATTAGTTGAATCCTAAGTTAGTTTTCAAGAACCTGTTCTCTGTACTTACTTTATTAAGCTCCTTTAAGAAATGTAGTGGTGGTCCCCAGCACCACAAAAAAAAAAAAGAAAAGAAAAGAAAGAAATGTAGTGGTGGGCTAGGGCTGCAGCTCAGTGTGGTAGAGTGCTTGCCTCACACATGTGAGGCACTGGATTCAATCCATAGCACCACATAAAGATAAAAAAATAAATGAATAAAGGTATTGTGTCCTTCTACAACTAAAACAGTATTTTTTTTTAAAAAAGGAAAGAAATGTAGTAGTAAAGGTCTCTTCAACTGAACTGCATGGTTGAGAAATAATTAGAATTTTTTTTCTTCTATCTTTAGGTTTAATAAAGATCCAGAAAAGACTGAAAATAATGAAAGTTACAAACATACAAGAAACTGCAAAAGCCGTGAAGAAAGTGATGCTGATTTAGATTTTGATATTTATTTAGATGATACAGATAATAATCAAGTGGATTAATGACTCAAGTTAAAGAATGTGAAATTTTGACCAACTTTTGCCTTTGAGGGGCTCACAAAAAATATTGTGAAATCCTAATGAGGAAATAAGAAAAACTATAGAAAATACATAAAATATATGTAAGAACAATATAAACTGTGTAAAATATTTGAATAATTATCAAACATTATAAAGCTTTCATCCAGAGTTTTTTATAACAAATTTTTTAGGTTGTATAAATTAGAATAATATCTGCCAAAATACATATTGTGGTATCCTGTTGTAGGTCATGAGAATTATTTAAAAGAATATATTACCGGGGCTGGGGATGTGGCTCAAGCGGTAGCGCACTCGCCTGGCATGCACGCGGCCCGGGTTCGATCCTCAGCACCACATACAAACAAAGATGTCGTGTCCGCCGAAAACTAAAAAATAAATATTAAAAATTCTGTCTCTCTCACCTCTCTCTTAAAAAAAAAAAAAAAAAAAAAATTAAAAAATGTATTACCTAAATACATAAATGTATTTGTTATCAAAATAAATGAGACTCAGAATTGGTGGTTATGTAAGAACTATCTCATGTAAAAATAAGATGATATTATTATAAATAATATTAAAAATCAGTAAACAGTCCTCTTGACAAAAGCTCCCTTACTTTATTTTTTTATAATAATGTATAGCAATTTTCCTTTGAAAGCATTTTCATTTACCTCTTCACACTGTTGTACCTTTTTCCTCTTGAGAACTATATATCCAGGAAAAATGCATAAAATTTATATGTACAGTTTACTCAATAATTATAAAAGAGAGTTTTACACTTAGACCTGCATGAAGAAACTGCTGGGACCAGAAGCTCCCCAAGAAGCTCTCCCTCATCATCACAAGTTCATCCTTCTTCCCAGAGTTGGCACTAACACTGAATTTTTGGGGGGGGCAGCGGGAATGGGTTGCCAGGGATTGAACTCAGGGGCACTTGACCACTGAGCCACATCCCCAGCCCTATTTTGTGTTTAATTAGAAACAGGGTCTCAGTGAACTGCTTAGCGCCTCACTAAATTGCTGAGGCTGGCTTCAAACTCATGATCCTCGTTCCTCAGCCTCCCAAGCTGCTGTGATTACAGGCGTGCGCCACCACGTCCATCTCTAACCTGAATTTTGATAATTATTTCCTTTGTCATTTTACTACTACTAAACAATATAAATTCACTTTGTCTGATTCTTAAACTTTCCTATCTTTGTATTTTGAAACATTTCAAACCTACAGAAAGGTAGCAAAGTAGTACAGTGAACCTTTATATAGTCTTCACATAGATTTCAAATGTTAGAATTTTACCATGTTTTCTTTATAGCTCCATAAGTGGACATATATTTATTTTTAATTTATAAAACCATTTGAAAATCAGTGCTAAGTAAGGATTTGATTTTGAACTGTATGTGAATAGACTTGCAGTATGCATACTATTTTGCATCTCTTTTTTCATTTTTATAAAGTTTGGGAGATTGACTCATGTTGTTACAAAAGTTCATTTTATATTATTCTATGGAATTACATAACATAGTTTCTTTATCTTTTCTAATGTTAAGACATTTGAGTTAATTCACATTTTTCCTATTGTAAGCAATATTGGTATAAACACTGTTATATGTGTCTCTTGGTACATATGTGCATTTCTGTTAGGTATATATATCAATAAAAGAAATCAGGTGTGTGCATCTTCAATTTTCCTATATAGCATGAAACTTTTTCCAGAGGTATAGTTATCCTCCCTTCACTCAGCAACATATTACTGTTTCTGTGCTCTGCATCCTTTCTGATGCTTAGAATCAAAATTTTAAATTTATGCCAATTTGATATGTGTACAACAGTATCTCCTTGTGTTATTGTTAATTTGTATTTCCAGAATTACTAGTAACCCAGATCCCCTTTTTATGTTTACTAGTAATTTTTTTCCTAGTAGATAATGCTAAGAAATAACTTTGTTAAGTATAATAATGTTATTTTTAAAAAGGTATACTGAATTAGGGTATAATGTCAATTTACCTTATTTTGTTGTAAAGAAAGTAAATATACAGATAACATCTCGGTTGCATCAAAAAATGTTACCTAGGAATAAATAAAAAGTCCTCAAGAACTGTCAACCAAAATATAAAATCTTATCAAGATATTAAATAAAGAGGAGCTGGGGTTGTGACTCAGCGGTAGAGCACCCACCTAGCATGGGCAAGGCACTGGGTTCGAGCCCCAGCACCATATAAAAATAAATAAATAAAGATTGTGTTCAATTACAACTAAAAGAAAAAAGATTTTGAAGAAAACATAGACAAAAATAAATGAAGCTCAGGAGGCTAAGGCAGGAGGATTATGAGTTCCAAGTTCAGCCTCAAGGTCAGCATCAGCAACTATGAAAAGGGTAGGGGATGTGGCTCAATGGTTATACATCCCTGGATTCAATTCCCAGTACAAAATAAATAAATAGAAATACCATGTTCATGATTTAGATATCTCAATATTCTAAGCTTCTAGTCTCACAAAAGTTTCTCTCTATTAACTTGTGTGGCTTTCCTTTTTATATAAATTTATTTTGGTATCTATATATTTTCGTCCCTTTTTATATATAGATTTATTTAACTTTTGTGATTAAAGAGCCAACTAACTTATGATTCGATTAGCATAAATTCTTTCCCATGTGAATGCTTGTAATTCCTCAGAGCATCACCTAGTAACATATATCAATAGCTGCATTTTATTCTTTAATAGTAAGAAAATTTGTTGTGTTTTGTTCCCTTTGTTTTATTCCCCTGGTACTAGAAATTGAACCCAGGGGCACTTAACCACTGAGACAAACCCCAAGCCTTTTTTTTTTTTTTAATTTTGAGACGTTACCTTGCTAAATTGATTACAGCCTTGCTTGGTTGCTGAAGCTGGCCTTGAACTTTCCATCTCCCAGCCTCAGCCTCCTGCTCCTGGGATTACGTGTTTGCCCCATCACACCTGGCTTTTGCTTTGTTTTGTAAACAGACTTTGTTATATTAACTTCCTTTATATTTCTTTAAGAATTATTCTAACCTCAAAACTGGTTTTTTTTTGTTTTTGTTTTTGTTTTTGGAACTCAGCACATAGAAACAAAATGAAGACCTTGTTTTATTTTAACATAATGAATCAGTTTAATATAGTGAATTAGCTTATCCCTCCTTAATATTTTAGCATCACATATTCTAAAACATTATAGTACTTTATTACAGAAGTTCTGAATTCTCATCATTAAATTCATATGATGAGCTTTTAAGAAAAATCTTATTCCTGGGATATTGTGATTCCTTTGTCTGAATTATAGCCCCATATTTTCCCTCCAAATCTTTAGGTGATTCTGATCATCAGCTACTGCATGCAATTGGCTGCATGTGCCAAAAAGCCATTTTCATCCCATCTGCTGCTTTTTAGCTACCATAATACCATACTCTATTGTCATGTTCTCTCTTAGCTTCTCTTGTAACTGGTGCTAGCCAGCTCCACTGGGAGATTCTAGGAAAGATTAGTCTTACTGGCAAAAAGAAAACGTTTTTTCTACCATGTTCTTCCTGCCTAAATGTGGTTGTGAGAAGACATGATGTCTAGAACTTGTATCCCTAAAGAGGAAGTTGAGCTGCAGAGACAGCAGTCCAGAGCCCTGATGTTTTTAAGCTGCTGACATAATGAATTCTTGTAAATAAGTGCCTATTTGTATAAGCTGTTATTAATCAGAAATCTGTTATTGGCAGTAAAACGAATTCCAGCTGATAACACAGAAAATTTGGTAAGCCTTGTTTTATAGAACCCATTGTGTGCTATGACAACTAGGTTAGTTAATATATCAAAAAAAAAAATTTCATTGTTTACCTTTGCTCTGTACAACAATTCTGATTAAATCACAACTAATCACATGGTAGCAATAATTAGAATATCAAATATATAGTATTCATAGATTCTAAGCATCTTGCATCTATCAACACATTTAATGCTCCTACCAACTTCATGGAAACAAAGCACAGAAAGATGAATTTCTACCAAGTCATATAGCTGAAGTGATAGAACCAGGATTCAGAATCATGTTCACTGGTTTCAGAGTCTACTTTTTTTCCTCCCCCCCAGGGGAGGGTACCAGGGATTAAACTCAGGGGGCTCCACCAGTGAGCCACATCCCCATCTCTATTTTGCATTTTATTTACAGACAGGGTCTCACTGAGTTGTTTAGTGCCTCGCTTTGCTGAGGCTGTCTTTGAACTCACAATCCTCCTGCCTCAGTCTCCTGAGCTGCAGAGTCTGCTTTTCAACTACTGCATTGTACAACTCCTTTGTCATATGCCAGACTTTTTTCTTTTTCTTTTCTTTTCTTTTTTTTTTTTTTTTTTTTTTGAGAAAGGTCTGGGTTAGCATATTTTAAGACTTCATAATTATTATTTAAATTTTTCACTCAAGAGCACTACCTGCTTCTACAGAAGCCGGACCAATTTTTATTTTGGAGATACACACCTGTAGATTTTGAAGAACTTACTGATAGAAGAGCAGTCCTGGGTGGAAATAAGACCAAATGTTCCCCACAATTTGGGTCAGAAGGAGGGATCTATCTATTGGTTGAGACAAAAGTGACTTTAATCTAAAATGTACCCTGCTTAACTTACACTGATACCAAAGAGAAGGAGGCATTGCTGGAGCCCGAGTCCTGTTGCCCAGCTCTGCACAGATCTGACTGTCTATCTAGAATTTGCTAGACACACTGCATTCCCATGAGAGCACTCTGTCATTCCCCAATGTGTATCGCTACTCTTTACTCAACTCCAGGACCCTCAGAGACCAGGTGCCCTCAGAGACCCTAGCCAAATATTTCACTCCAGACACCGGATAGGCCAGCCTAAATGCCAAAGACTTTTCTAAAGGTAGAGCATATTAGACTGCATGGCATGATAGGTTATTTGGTGACTAAAATTTCTGTAATAATAATACAATAATATCTAATATTAATAGATAATCATTGAAGTGTGTGCATGGCACCGTTGAAGATAGTAGGGATACAACAGTGAACAAAACAAAGATCTCTGTCCTTACAGAGATAACATTTGGATGGAGATAGACATTAAATAAAGTAAGCAGGTTATGTGTTAGTAGGTGAAAAGGGCTATGGGAAAAGTGAGTCGTAGAGGGTGATTGGGAGCCTGAGGGTGTGATGGACCAGGGTTGAGGTGCACGAGTGGGTGGGGGATGGGATGTGCTTTTAAATTTAGGCCTCAGTGAAAAAGCATCATTTGTACAAAATCTTCAAAAGATGGGAAGAATGTTCCAGGCAGAGGAAACGATGGCTGCAAGAGTTCTAAAGGAAGACTGTGGTT